GAGAGAGAGAGAGAGAGAGAGAGAGAGAGAGAGAGAGAGAGAGAGAGAGAGAGAGAGAGAGATGATTTTGGTCAGATCTGAGATCCCGTCTTAGATCTGGTCCTGACTAGATCTCAGATCCGGAGCAGTGCCTGAAGTGCTGGCAACATTGCTACCGACGGAAGCGGAGGATCCTACCGCCTGCTCCGTCATAGGCGGGATCTTCTCGGTCACCTTTTTGTTACGACACTTGAATTGGTTATGGTGAATGCAAGCTTGCCCGGTGTACCGGTCTCTCCACACGTCCTCAGTGAGACCCGCTTTCTCCCATGGGGAGCATTGGGGTCAACTTGACTCCTTGACCGGGGACCTCCTCGGCGTCTACCGGTCGCCTTTCCTTTATGAGCTACGGCAGCGACTCCTCCACCCTCTGAAGCTTCTACGCTGCCTGCCTCTAAACCAACTCCCGCTTGGAATTCGTCGTCCAACTCGATGGTGGAACCATCGTTGTCGACGAACATAATGCGGCCCTTTGCCTTCCAGTTGGGAGGCAGTGACTTCTTCCTACCATCCGTCGTGGGATTATGTCCATGCCCTATCTTTGCCTCCAGGTCTAGGGCCTTCTTACTGAACGAGGGAAAGTTGTGCATATTGATGTTGGCCTCACCTGCCAACTATTCCTGAGAGGCATGGGAAAGCATCTCAGGTAGGAGGTGAGTAAGACCTGGGGGTCATAGCGCACCCCAGGGACACAGATCAGACGCTCTACAGCATCAGTGGCTTCCCTTACTGACTTGAACTGCCTCGTGTGCAGTGTCAGGATCGCGTCAGTGGCTTTTTGAGCCTCTTGAGGATCATGCCACCTGTCTTCCACCATCTTGAGAAAGTGCTCCAGTTTCTGGTGGGCTGCCCAAGCGCGGAAGTCATGACTGTACCCCTGTAGTTGCACTAAACCACTCAACCATCGTGCTGCACTCCCCTCTAGAAAGGAGGCAGCCACAAACACTTCCTCGTGCGGCAAGGTAAGTTTACATGTGACATAGACCGGCACTGCCCTCAACCAAGTGTCAAGGTTTTCGCCCCTCTTATACCCTGTGAAGGGTTTAGGAGCAACGATGGTCGCTTTGGTACCCACTGACTTTGTCCCGGTACCTGCACCACTCCGGGTTGTGGACCCTGTGGCGCAGGCTGCTGCACTAGCTGCTGTTGGGGTTGTGTACCCCGCGGCTGTGCAGGCTGCGAGGCAGCAGGCTGCCCGCTTTTGACAACTTGTGACGGAGGTTGGGTGTACACTGTCTGTACAGGAACCTGCGACCTGCTGAGAACCCGCCTGTCAAAGGCATACCGAGGGAAACGGGCTGGACCAATGCTGGAGCTGTATATGGGGATACCCCATTTACCGGTGGGATAAAAAGAGGAGGTTGTACAACGGGCCAGGCACCTGGCCCGGACGGCGATGGCACAACCTGCGCTCGTCCGACCAATACGGCCAGACTCTGCTGAATGTCCTGAAGGAGAGTCGTCTGGTGGTCCTGCATTTCAACTACATCTAGCAGGACGGACCGTACGGTCCTCACATCGTCACTCATGTGTGTCAGGTCCATCTCCTTTAACTCACTAACATTCGCCTGCCTCCGCTGCATCCTGGCTCTTCTTCTAATCATTTTCTCTTTCTTTGCTTTAATCTCTCCTAATGCCTGTTGTAGTTGTGCCTCGTGAATCGCTGCTCGCTGTATGGCGACCTCCTCGGGGGTCAACACTATTGGCTGGCTTGCCATAACGCCAGTAGACTGACTCTGGGTCTTTGCGACCATTGACCCTACAAATCCTGAACTGGTAGCCTGGGAACTCTGCTGTGCAGAAGTGGCCATGGCTGCTGAAGCAGCGGCTTCGCTTACGAACGCCCTGCTGGCCTCTGCTGCTCTAGCTCTCCTCTGCTGCTGCTGCCTCTCCCTACGCTGGCGGAACAGATATCTGTCACCCTTTGGTCATAATGCCAAATGGGCAACTGGGCGTCTGGCCGATCGCAATCTCCGGTCGTCCTCTCTAGTGTCCTCCCTGTCGCTCATAAGCTACAGTACTGAGCACAATCTGCACTAGACTACTCTAGGTGCCTACCACAGCGTAATGCCCAGACCAATTTAAAATAAATAGATAATTAATTGGTGACTTTTTTGGAGTAGATACATTTGGGATCAACAGGTAAGTTCAGATTCCTACAAATGATACTATTCTACTTTGACTAGCTCGCTAACAGAAAGCACAATGAACAAAATTAGTTAATTGGTGACTTTTTCGGAGTAGATAC